GGGAGGGGCAGAGAGAGAGAGAATCCCACACAGACTTCAAGTGGCCAGTGCAGAGCCCCGTGTGGGGCTGGAACTCACCAACCATGACACCATGACCTGAGCCGAGATCAAAATCAGATGTTAACCCAACTGAGACACCCAGGCGCCCGGAGGAGTCGTGAGTTTTAAAGAACTTGCCTACGGTCGCAGTGCTGGGGTCACAAATCTAGAGGCTGAGGCTCTGAGCCTCCTGCCTTTTTGATCATATTTGCCAAAGGCAGATTCACTACAGCACCAGCCATTTACTTAATGGTTTTCTGCCCGGGGCACGTGGAGGTGCCGTTAGAACAGAGCCCTTGTGCTTCTTGCTTCGTGTCCCCAGTGAGAGAGCGGTGCCGACTCCCAGGGGAGACATCCTGGGCCTTGTTTTCCTTAGAGAAACAATATCCTGAGATAACTGAGTAGAGACAAGGGTGCAGACTCTAAACTTCTGCGTATGAGTGTCCCATGGTGAGCGTCTCACAGCCCGCCCTGGTCACTGCTATCTCATCCTGATCTATTATTTTTTTTAATGTTTAATTTTGAGAGAGAGAGAGCCTGTGAGCAGCAGAGAGAGAGGGAGACAGGATCCAAAACAGGCTCTGCGCTGAGAGCTGAGAGCTTGACCTGGGACTCCATCCCACAACCCTGGGATCATGACCTGAGCTAAAATCACGAGTTGGACACTCTACCAACTGAGCCGCCCAGGTACCCCAGCACTTAAAGATTTTTTTTTAATTTTTAAAAATGTTTTTATTTATTTTTGATAGAGAGAGAGACACACACACACACAGAAAGAGAGAGAAAGAGAGAGAAAAATAGAGCACGAGCCAGGGAGGGGCAAAAATAGAAGGAGACACAGAATCTGAAGCAGGCTCCAGGGCGGGACTCGAACTCATACTGTGAGATCCTGACTTGAACCGAAGTCAGACACCCAACTGAAAGAGCCCCCCAGGTGCCCTGGGATTTTTCATAAACAAGTGAAGAAATTACTAGATGCCTAATTTCCGGGAGTCCATTTTGGTAATTTCATTTTTAACTATAAAGTATTTCAACCATACAGAAAAGCACGGAAAATTAACACCATATAGCCACCACCCAGATTTAACAAATGTGAAACTTCTGCACATTGCTTCAGATCTGGATAAAGAAATAAAGCCTTACAGGTTCAGCATTTACACTAAAGGGAAAGATGGAGAAATTTGGTACTCTTTAAAAAAAATTCATCATTACGAAAACTTTAAGTGTCAAGAACTAAATTAAAATGCCAAAGACAGTACAGTGAACATGAAAGATTTCCCCCTCTGTTTGCCTTCCAGGGGAGCTAACTGGCTAGAAAAGGTGGTCCCAGAAAAGGGCTTTCATCAGTAGTTGGTAATAGAAATTCCAGAATCCAGATTCTTTCCTAGACCATTTCCCTTCTGCTTGCTCACAAACTGGGATGAGCCCCACGGTGGCCAGTCTGACTCCCAGCTGAGCTTCCATTTCTTTCTAGGAGTGCTCACCCTACGCAGCGCATCTCTATGATGCGGAGAACCCTCAGACGCCCCTCCGGAACCTTCCAGGCCTCTGTGCTGACTACTGCTCTGCATTCCACTCCAGCTGCCACTCAGCCATCTCCCTCCTGACCAATGACCGCCGCCTCCGGGAGACACATGAGAAGGATGGTGCCCATTTCTGCCACCTCCTCAACCTTCCTGACAAGGACTACTGCTTCCCTAATGTCCTGAGGAGTGACCACCTCAACCGCAACCTGGGGGTGGTGGCCAAGGACCATCGGGGCTGCCTGCAGCTCTGCCTCACCGAGGTGGCCAATGGGCTGAGGAACCCCGTCTCCATGGTCCACGCTGGCGACGGCACCCATCGCTTCTTTGTGGCCGAGCAGGTGGGGGTGGTATGGGTCTATCTACCTGATGGGAGTCGCTTGGAACAACCGTTTTTAGACCTCAAGAATCTCGTACTGACTACTCCGTGGGTAGGGGATGAGAGAGGCTTCTTGGGACTGGCGTTTCATCCCAGATTCCGCCGCAACCGCAAATTCTATATTTATTATTCATGTCTGGGCAAGAAGAAGGTAGAAAAGATCCGGATTAGTGAGATGAAGGTTTCTCGGGCTGATCCCAACAAGGCTGACCCCAAATCGGAAAGGTGAGACGTGCCCGTGAGAATGGGCAACTTTGGGCTGTGTCCCCAAATAATGCCTGTCTGTCCTCGGAGATGATAAAGGGAGATTTCTGGTTTTAAAGCCACTAGCAAAGAGTCATTGTTGAATAACAAGGATGGACAAGTTAGACTTTTGAGTCAAGGGTCTTCGTGAGGTATAGCTGTCCCTTACAGTTACCTAATCAGAACCATGCTTGGTTGTTTTTACAGGTTTGTAAGCAATGGCCAGCAGCCATAAGGGCTTGAGAAATGATTACAGATAAAATCGATATATTAAACATGATAGTGGCCTCTGATTATTGTGTGGCTATTGGATTCCAGGTCCTTTACCTTGAACCTGAGAATTATCCTCACAGGAAGCTGTGCCACAAGGCCATAAATCTATCAATGCCCAGTCAGACAAAGGACTTAATTCTATCTGACTCCAAGCTCATGCTCTTTCCACTCCACCACTCTGCCTTTTTTCCTTCTTTTCTTTCTTCCTGGTCTCTCTGTTCCTATATAGCCAGGCTTGGGGTTTGAAAACAGCATGGAGAACTGGTTGATTAATCCCTGTGAGCTGTGCAAAGGAAGGGGTTAAGAGCTCTGGTAGAGCAGAGAGTAAGGCCGAGCCCCCTAAAAGAGTGATTTCTACCCTGGCTGTGTCTACAGTTCATGAAATCATGATGTGAAAGAAGATTCATCAAGGAGTCATATTGGGAAACAAGAGGTGTCTCAGAGCTCCAAGCTTTGTGACCTTGGAAACGGAAGCAGATCATGGTTGGCTGGGACCAGTCATTTCTCTGTCTCAAGCAGATGTAGTTTCAGCTTGTATCAAAGCCTCATGCATCGTTTCTTCTCCTTCCAGAGTCATCTTGGAGATAGAAGAGCCGGCCTCAAATCATAATGGCGGACAGCTTCTTTTTGGTGTGGACGGCTACATGTACATATTCACCGGAGACGGAGGGCAGGCCGGGGATCCCTTCGGCAAGTTCGGAAATGCTCAGAACAAGTAAGCTGGTTGGATCTGGGCCCCCGTCCCTTTAGGGTGAGCCCTTGGTACGTTTTTGCTGAGATGGAGTTTGCAGAGGGTCAAACCCAAATCACCTACTACAAGATGTAGCCTCCGTCTGTTGAGGCAAGTGGGAGGATCGTTTGGTTTTCTGCCCTATAAATCTCAGGCACACGTGTGTTTTGGTTAAGTAATATTATGGATGCACAGTGTAACTCTCAGAATGGTATGTAGAGATGAATCCAGAATGTTTAACATATATATATTCTGACACACAAAATTCTTATGGCATGTCAGGTGCTGTTGTGAGTATCTTGTGTCTATTTAAGATGTAAGTCTATGAGCACCTGGGTGGCTTGATTGAGTATCCGAATTCAGGTCAGGTCATGTTCTTGTGTTTCGGGGGCTTGAGCCCCACATCGGGTTCTCTGCTGTCAGCACAGAGCCCACTGTGGATCCTCTATCCCCCTTTCACTCTACCCTTCCCCTGCTTGCACTCTCTATCCATCTCCACCCCGTCTTTCTCTCAAAAATAAATAAATAAACATTTTTTAAAAGAATGTAATTCTAACATCCCACAAGGGCAGGAATTTTTATCCACTTTGTTAACTGCTATATCCCCAGCACCTAGAATAGTGCCTGGCATGGTCAGGCACTTGAGAAATACTTACAGGATGGATGAGTCCTATGAAGTGTAGGTATTATGATGGTCAATTCACAGCCAAGAAAATAGAGGCAGAGAGGAGTAAAGTAGCTTGTCCAAGGCTACACAGCAAGCAAGTGGCAGAACCAGAATTTACACTCTGAGAATCTGGTGCAAGAGAACCCAGTGAGGGTTCTGCTGACCTAAATAAAAGTCACGCAAGGGGCGCCTGGGTGGCTTAGTCGGTTAAGCGTCCGACTTTTGCTTAGGTCATGATCTCGCGGTTTGTGGATTCGAGCCCCGCGTCGGGCTCTGTGCTGACTACCAGCTCGGAGCCTGGAGCCTATTTCAGAGTCTGTATCTCCCTCTCTCTCTGACCCTCCCCTACTCACGCTGTCTCTCTCTCTCTTCTAGAAATAAATAAAAATATTTTTTAAAAAAGTCACGTGATCTTTCTTCCCTTTGCATCAGGGGAGGGTCAGAGAGAGAAGGAGTCACAGACTGAAACAGGCTCCAGGCTCTGAGCTGGCTGTCAGCACAGAGCCCGACGCGGGGCCCGAACCCACGAACCGCGAGATCATGACCTAAGCGAAAGTCGGACGCTTAACCGACTAAGCCACCCAGGCGCCCCGCACCATCAAGTTCTTGAATCTTGTTATCCCTAGTAATAAAATTTTAAAGTTCTAAGAATCCAGAGCTAACATTTGTCAAATGCCTTTATCATGTGCTGGGAATTGCCTTACAGGCTACATACAAGATACCTCCTTTAACCCTTACATTGTAACCACTCTGCAAAGTAATGTTTCTCTCCTCTGCTTTACAAATGTGGAAACTGAGGCCCAGAGACCACAGTTGCTAGCAGAGCCTCTCTACAAGCTCTGTTCTTTCTGTGACCACAGTGCTATATGAAGAATAGAACAGCTGTTTATGGTTTTTTTAATTTTTTAAATTTATTTCTGAGAGAGAGAGAGAGAGAGAGACAGTGTGAGCAGGGGAGAGTCAGAGAGAGAGGGAGACACAGAATCTGAAACAGGCTCCAAGCTCTAAGCTAGCTGTCAGCACAGAGCCCAACACAGGGCTCGAACCCACCAACTGTGAGATCATGACCTGAGCTGAAGTCGGACACTTAACTGACTGAGCTACCCAGGCACCCCCAGAACAGCTGTTTAAAAATTCATACTATTGGTGCCCGAGTCGGCAGCACATATACTGAAGTCAGAACACTGTAGAGAAGATTAGCAGGGCCCCTGGGCAAGGATGAAGTGCAAATCTGTGAAGGGTTTCTGTATTAAAAAAAAAAAAAAAAAAATTCAGGGGTGCCTGGGTGGCTCAGTCGGTTAGGTGTCCAACTCTTAATTTCAGCCCCACTATCATGATCTCATGACTTAGAGAGTTCGAGCCCTGCATCGGGCTCTGCGATGGCGGTGTGGAGCCTGCTTGGGATTCTCTCCCTCCCTCCCTCTCTGCCCCTCCCCCACTCACGCTGTCTCTATTTCAAAATAAATAAACTTAAAAAAAAATTCACGGGGCCTGGGTGGCACAGTTGGTTAAGTGTCCAACTTCGGCTCAGGTCATGATCTCACGGTTTGTGAGTTCAAGCCCCGTGTCAGGCTGAGAGCTCAGAGCCTGGAGCCTGCTTCAGATTCTGTCTCTCCATCTCTCTCTGCCCCTTCCCTGCTCATGTTCTGCTTCTCTCTCAAAAGTAAATAAACATTAAAAAAATTCTTTTAAACTTCATAGTGCTAAAACAAACCTGAGAAAAACCATTCCATCGAAAACATTTTAAAAACTGAAACAACAGCTTGCTTGCTCAGGGTCACGTGGGCCAGGATCACATCAAACTTTTGCCTGGTAGTTAGTTCTCTGTAAGCCAAACCTTGGCAAATCTTAACATTTTGCATATATATATTGTATAGACATAACTTTATATATATATATGAGTATCACACATATATTTATAATATCATGTGTGTGCGTATAAGATTATGTCTCCCCAAGTGATTCCTACAGTTGTTTGGCATCAACAATCAGTAGGTCCTCCTGGGTGGTCTCTGGTCTTGTGACATTTTATTTTACCTTATTTTCTATTTTATTATTTTATTTAGTCTGAAAGTCTGAATACTTAACATAAAATCTACCCTCTTAAAAGATTTTAAGTGTAACAAAATTTTTTATTTTTTAAATGTTTTTATTTCATTAATGTTTATTTATTATTTTTGAGAAAGAGAAGGAGAGAGAGAGGGGGTGAGAGGGAATGAGTGGGGGAAGGGAGAGAGAGCAGGGAACAGAGGATCTGAAGCGGGCTCCGCACTGACAGCAGAGAGCCTGATGCTGGGCTCAAAGTCATGAACTGTGAAATATGACCTGAGCTGAAGTCAGACGCCTGACCTACTGAGCCACTCAGGTGCCCCTGAAAGAAATTTTTAAGTGTAAATACAATATTGTGAATTATAGGGAATGTTGTACTGGAGATCTCTAGAACTTTCTCATCTTGTAAACAAACGTCCAACTGGCATACGAAAATATGCTCAATGCCACAAATCATCAAGGAAATGCAAATCAAAACCACAATGAGATATCACCTCGTATCTATTCGGATAACTATTACCCCCGTCCCCCGCTCCCCCACTTCCAAAAGATAGCAGGCATAGCTGAAGACGTGGAGAACTTTGCATACAGTTGTTGGGAATGAAAAATAGTGCAGCTACTATGGAAAACAGTATGGAGATTCTGTGAACACATTACAAATAACACTAGCAAATGATCCAGCAGTCCCATTTCTGGGTACTGAATCTGTGCCTATTTCCCGGCCCTCTTTCTTTCAGAAGTTCCCTGCTGGGGAAAGTGTTAAGGATCGATGTGAACAGGCCAGGCTCAGATGGAAAGCGGTACCGAGTCCCCCGGGACAATCCATTTGTCACTGAGCCAGGGGCCCACCCTGCTGTCTATGCCTACGGGATCCGAAACATGTGGCGCTGTGCCGTGGACCGGGGGGACCCCGTCACGCGCCAGGGCCGAGGCCGGATGTTCTGTGGGGACGTGGGACAGAATAGGTTTGAAGAAGTTGACATCATTGTGAAAGGCGGAAACTATGGCTGGAGGGCAAAGGAAGGGTTTGAATGTTACGACCGAAAACTTTGTCACAATGCCTCTTTGAGTAAGTAGGAAGCCTCTGGGCGATTTCTTGAATGAATTGAGGGGATTGGAGGTGGAGGTGGGGGAAGAAAACCTGGGAATGTTCTGCCTGCAGGGTCGTTGAGGCGCCCTTGTTTTTGTCCTATGGGTTATAGCGTTGGCCTGGAGCATGCTGGGTAGTGCTTCTTAACCTGACGCATTTGAATCTTGGGTGGATTGAAGGAGCGGGATTGGCCTAGGAAACGAGATTTTTTAAATAAACTACCCACATGATTTTTAGGCATACTGTCTTGAGGACCACTCACAGAGGCAAATTGGTGGCTGTAGGTTTTTAATTTATTTCCCAATTGGAACAGCGCACTGAAATGACCTTCTAGATATAGTCAAGTGCTATAGTCGATATATAATCCCTAAACATCAATAATCAAGGTGTGCTTTGGTGTACCTTGTCACTAGTGTTTTTGTCCCTCTAGGTTACAAAGGAGTCTTACAGAACCTCTTACAGACAAGTTTTTCAAATCATTAAAGTTGAGTGTCTGCCATGTCAGCCTAGGGGTAAAATGAGGTGTGTGGATTACCTGGTCACTGCCTCTTAGGTGGGGGAATTTTTGGCCTCCTCTCTGCTTGCAGCGACCAGTCAAATGGGAAGCTCACCAATATTGTGGCTGGTCTGTTGAGAAAAATTAACATGATTATCTCTGCTGCCTGCCCTACCAAAGACCAAGAAATCGAGTGTTCTCCACTCAGTCAGGCAACTGCATTATAAAACCCCATCTTCTTCCTCGAAGCACTCAGGTTTTTAGCCACAATACTCTCTTTGTTCCTGGACAGATGACATTCTGCCAATCTACGCTTATGGCCATGCAGTGGGGAAGTCAGTCACTGGAGGATATGTCTACCGTGGGTGTGAATCCCCAAATCTCAATGGCCTCTACATCTTTGGGGACTTCATGAGTGGGTAAGAAAGAATTAATGTCTCCCTTCATTTTTTTTTTTCATACTTTTTTTTTTTTTAATGTTTTATTTATTTCTAGGAGAGAGAGAGAGACAGCGTGAGCAGGGGAGGGTCAGAGAGAGAGGGAGTCACAGACTGAAACAGGCTCCAGGCTCTGAGCTGGCAGTCAGCACAGAGCCCGATGCGGGGCCCAAACCCACGAACCGCGAGATCATGACCTAAGCGAAAGTCGGTCGCTTAACCGACTAAGCCACCCAGGCGCCCCTCCCTTCATTTTTTAAAAAAAATTTAACATTTGTATTGAGATATAAATTACATGTGGTAAGATGCAATCTCTAAGAGCACAGTTGGATAAAGTTTTACAATATATGCACTTGTAAATATGTCAACATGCTGAATGTTCTATGTCACTCTAGAAAGTTCCTTCTTGTCTATTGCCTGTCAATACCACCCCTTTCTCTCTGACACTCACTCACACACACACACACACACACACACACGTATGCCCACCAGTCAGAGATAACCACTCCCATCACACATTAATTTTGCTTCTGGAACTTAATACGCATGGAACCATATATATGTATTCTCCTTTTGTACATGTATGGCTTCTGACATTCCATAAGGCCAGTGAAATTCATCACTGTTGTCACATGTAATCAGGAGTTTTTTATTGCTTTGTAATATTCAATTGCATGAATACCACAAATTATCAATCTATTCTCCTATTTTGGGCTTTTCCAGTTTTTTACTGTATATTTATTTTATATTTATTATATATTTGTTATATATATTGTAAGTGTGTGTGTGTGTATGTGTGTGTATGTATTAGGCTTGTATTTGGCTACCTTGTCAAGTCCTTACTAGTTCTATTGGCTTGTGAGTGTGTGTGTAGATTCTATTGGATTTTTTATGTAGAAGATCACTTTGTCTATGAATATAGATACTTTTCTTTTTCTGGATTGCAAGCCTTTTATTATCAACTTATTGCTTCATCTTAAACCTTCAGTACAACATTGGATAGAAGTGGGGGAAAGCATTCCATTTTCACCAACGAGTATGATGTCCTTTGTAGGTGTTTGTACACGTTCTCTAGAAGGTGAGGAAGTTTCCCGTCCATTCTTAGTTCACTGAGTCTGTATTAGGTATGGCTGTTGTGTTTTGTCAAATGCCCCTTTACATCTAGTGAGAGAGTCATGTGTTTTTTTTCATTTTTAACATAATGGATTGCATTGATTGATTTTTTTAAATCAATGGCAAGAAGCCATCTTGCATTTCTGGAAGATACATGACTTGGTCATGATGTATTATTCTTTTAACATACTGTTCGATTTGCTTTACTAGCATGTTGTTTGAAAAATTTGCATCTCTGTTCGTGGAGGGATAGTGAGATATAGTTTTTATTTCTTGGAATATCTTTGCCAGATTTTGGCATCTGGGTAATGCCAGCTTTAGTAGAATGATCTAGAGAGTGTCTTCTCTTCAGTTGTCTGGAAGAGTTTGTGAAAGAGAGGTATTGTTTCTTCCTTACACGTTTCTTCCAAGTGAAGCCATCCAGGCCTAATGTTTTCTTATAGACAATGTATAGTTGGGTCTTGGTTTTTGATCCACTGTGGAGATCTCAGTTATTTGTTTGTTTGTTAATAATTTCTTCTTTTAATTGGTGCATCTGGACCATTAACATTCAAAGTGGTTATGGATGTCATTGGATTAAAATCTACCATACTCATTACTGCTTTCTATTTGTTGCCCTTGTTCTTTGTTCCTATTTTTTGTCTTTCCACTCCTTTTCTGCCTTTTGTGGATTTGAGCATTCTATATAATTTCATTTCTCCCCTTTCTTAGCATATCAGTTGTACTTTTTTTTTTTCTTTTTCAGTGGTGGCATAGAGTTTACGATATACATTTACAACTAACCAAAGTCCACATTCAAATAGCATTATACCCCTTCAGGATGGAAACTGAGGTCACTGATTTGAGATTGTCATCTTTTCTAATACCTATGTTTAGTGCTATAAATTTCCCCTCAAGTACTGCTTTAACAGCATCCCATAAATTTCAGTTTATTGTGTTTTCATTTTCATTCAGTTAAAAATAGGAGCACCTGGGTGACTCAGTCAGTTAAGCGTCCGACTACAGCTCAGCTCATGATCACACGGTTCGTGGGTTCGAGCCCCACATTGGGCTCTGTGCTGATGGCTA